CCCCAAAACCCCAAAACCCCAAAACCCCAAAACCCCTCTTATAATATAGAAATTGAATAGATTATTTATATGAAAAATATGAAACTAAGGTAAGAAGGGTTTTAGGGTCAACGGTTTAGAGAAGAGAGGAAGGAACAGGATGGTAGAGCAGTGGTGAAGGATTTGGAGATGAAGGTAATGGAAAGGGTGGAGGGGATAGGTTATTTTTAGTTTTGGGGAATTAAATTTTGTGATGATTGTCTATTTTTGTGTGAGGGTTGATTATATTTTGATGAAATATAATAATTAGGATTTTTTAATTCGAAATCCTTGTACCTAGATTTGCTCTGAATTATTTAAAATTACTAAAAATTTAATTCTTTCTTATAGCTGCCTCCAAAGAAGCCAATGCATCTCAACCAACTCAAAAACACTAATTTCTTAAAAATGTACAACTCGAAAAACCCAATTCATGAAACTGACCGAGAGAACAAACTAAGTACATCAAATAGCTGACATAATAGGTGTCTCCTGAAATATTGATTTAAAGAGCAAATTAAAAATCTCTAAGAATCCTTTCTTCAGCCGAGAAAATATTGAGAAAGATATCTTCCCAAAGCTAGGCTATCAGAGGTTATTCGAACTTGGCCAAGTAACAAATATTTTTAAACAGCAACTTCTTAATGAAGTCCTCTGGTGTCTCTAATTCTCTGTTTGTGGCATAAATTAGTTATAAGATTTTAAGAGTCCTAGTATTTGAGCTAGCTCACAAAGTATTTTATTTTACAGCAGAGTTTTACAAGTTCTTGTAAGCTTCGATGATACTGTATAAAATTTAATATGAATCAACATAAATTTTCGTGAACTTTCTTGAGGATATATGTTGCATATTTCTAAGGAGTTACAATAAAATAAATAAAGTTTTGAGCTTACAATAATATAGATTTCAGAAAGCGAGATGATGAAAAAAATAAGTAAGATATTTAACATAGTCTATAATTAAAAATCTTTGAAGGAGTCAACTTTATTTAGAGGAATCACAAATTAAAAAGATAAAAGATAAATTGTCTAAGTACCGAAAGAATTCTGTAAGTAATATTAATCCTTCCATTTCAGACTTCAAATATTTGTCCATTCCAAAACTTATATCCTAGAAGACTAAGAATAAAGCAACTTATGATCAAATAACAAAATCAATCAAAAACAAGAAATTTAAATAAAATTTCATATCTTCTAAAGAACTGAAAAAGAAGCATTAATAAGCACAATAATATCTCAAAAAGAAAAATTGCAGGCAAAAATCGATACAAATATTCTACTTCAAGTAAGCCATCATCAGCTCCATTTTAATTAACTTGCAAACGTTCCTATAGAAGATAGAACTAGAATGAATTCTCAGGCTACAACAAAAGACAGATTAAATAATTCTCAAGATTCACTTCCATCAGATCCAAAAATGCCACTTTCATTCTCAATAGAAAGAAACTCGTAAATTCTTCCTCTCTATCTTAGACACGTTACCCCCAGTTTCCTCTCTCCAAATCATCTCTCAATCTTCTCAACACCTAAACCCAAAAGATCCAATCCCAAAAGTAACCCCTACTCTAAATCTAACCTCAGAAACCCATCCAAACCCCCTCAAAACCCTCAAAAAAATCATCGTACCCCTCTCTAACCCTCTAGGCCAACACCTCTATCCCAAAATCCCGCCTTAAATCCTTCTCCCTAACCCTACCCCTCTCAAAATCCCCCAAACCCCTTCCTAACCTATCAATCTCCCCTACAAAAACCCCTCTCTTCCCTTCAAGTACCTTCTTCTTTCTAACTCCAGCCCTTCACGCTTCAACTTTCGACAAGAAACTTCACAGATGGTATAAATAATTTTATAAGAGAAGAAGTAGGTTTTGGAAGGGAAGAGGTATAGATTGGGTATAAGTATCAGAGGATTGATTATATTGCTGTAGGGAGGGGTATGAGGAAATTGAAGAATGTAAGGGAGTGAGAGTGAGATTTAGAAGGATTCGTATTTGAAGAGGAGAGAGAATGAGTTGTTGATTTTGTAATATGTTTCAATGTGGAGTTAGCAGGGAGGGGTTTTGGGGTTTTGGGGTTTTGGGGTTTTGGGG